GGGGGGGAAAATTCTTCTTCTTCTTCTTCTTCTTCTTCTTCTTCTTCTTCTTCTTCTTTTCTTTTTTTGGGGGGGGAAATTTTTCTTCTTCTTCTTCTTCTTCTTCTTCTTCTTCTTCTTTTCTTTTTTTTGGGGGGGAATTTTTCTTCTTCTTCTTCTTCTTCTTCTTCTTCTTCTTTCCTTCTTCTCTTTTTCTTCCCCCTCCCCCCCCTTCAACTTGAAGTCCAGCTGACAAAGCACGGACCCTGACCACTTCTTCTTTTTGTCTTTTTTTCTTCCCCTCCCCTCCCCCCCCCCTTCATCTCGAATCCTGTTTTGTTGGCACTGGCCTGAACGTTGCTTTTGAGCCAGAAGAAAGTTTCTTAAGTGGTGTGATGAGAATTTGATGTGAACGAGGATGTGTCGTGCGGAGGGTTGGTTGGGATGCCTGCTCCGGACTGCGTCAGGCGCTTGCGAGACAATCATGCAGAAGCCTTTTAAAATTGTGTGGTAGTGCAGAGTGCCAGAGAGACTGCTTGGGAACGCTGTGGGGACCACAGGGCTGCGCGTTGTTCCACCTTACTTTGGCAGAAAAGCATGCTGATTCATCGAACCTTGTCATAAAATCAATCTGATGTGCATGCGTGCACGTGTGTGTGTGTGATGCTATGTGTGTAAACACACTTAGATATAGCTCCAGTACACAACGAGTGCACTCCACACCATCGCATGACTTACAGGAATTGCAACAAATGACAGTATCGAAACCTAGTGCCCTGACGACAATGATCCGCAGATTACTCCCAAGACACTCAAGGTTTAATACCCCAATGTTTCCCTCTTTCCTTCTCATATATATATACATAATATATATATATATATATATATATGTGACGATATATATATATAGCCTCCTGATGAGTCGGTGAAACTCCGACGAAACAGTTTGTCACAGCCCCTCGTTTGTTGTCTTCTTCTCTCTCTCTGCCTACGGTTTACCGGGCAGTTCTATTTGTGACGATATATATATATATATATACACACATGAACGAGATGAGGACTGACAACAGCTCGACTGAAACAAAATCACACACACACCATCATGCCGCGCACTGCAAATGAAAGTGTACACGTGCACAAGTCATATGAACACGAATGAACTTATTCACCATAGCAGAGAGCATTCCCAATATAACAGCCACTATTCCTGAGCGAAAATGCCTACTCATTACTCTCATTGATCTGTATAATGGTCCTTCCTCCCTATTCATACACTCACCCTGCATATGACGCCCTTATCTATCATCCATTCCCCACGGCACACATATCGCCATTTCCTAATAACCTCTTCAGCTGCTCACCCATCATAATCCGCATGCTCATCTCCTATTACCCCTTAGCTTTTTCTTGCGAAACACAATCCCACTTATAGCAATCACACAACGCATCGACCCTACTGGTTGTTATTCATGCACACCTGCCTCAGCTACCCTATTCCCAGCGCCTTCGCCGTTCACACACGTGTTCGCCCCATTCTTAACATCCGTTCCCATTCACCCACCTACACCCTCCCAGATTGCACATATTAGTATCATATCCTGTCCTACTAAAGACTTCCTATTCTGGTAAACCTCTCACTCATTCCCCCATCCGCCTCGGTCCGCACACTTACAATCCTGGTTTATACACATTCACACAACGAACCCTTATGTCCTCTGCGCGTTAGGGTCAGGCATGCCTCCCCTCAATACCCATCCGAGGGCTACTTCCTCCCTTCCCCTTCGCCACTCATTCTCAGCGAGCCTACGTCCTTCATAACAGATCATAACCCACGTCCGATGATCCCTATGCATCCACTCCTCGAAATTGCCGACCCTCTTCTCGTAACCAGTTCGCCCATTGGTCCGTCAGACTTCGATTCGGGCGATCAGACAGGTGATCAGTCATCGTCCTCTGCAAACAATTCCTAGGCAATTACCAATCATCCCAAGACATCCCACCCATATCGACACAAAGTACGAGGAGCATCACAAGATTGGTAAGTACAGTACGTGGTGACTACCATTCATAAAACATTGCACACACATCCATTCCCCCTGGTTCTACGGATCGCCACATGGCCACATCAAGAACCGGCGATGCCTTAGCAGTGGATAGAAGGGCTAGGGGTAGTGGCAATTCCCTTAAACTAGTTTTTCACCGGCCCGCCACACACGCCAGATCATCAGAGGAGTAAATGATTAAAGCACCTTCCCCGTACTGCTTTCTCTTTCGAACCAGGATACCTGCAAACAGATCATACACCCGTGGATGAACAGCATCTCTCATCAGTTTAAAAGACTGATATACATGTTTTACGGGAACAACAAGAGCAACAACATCATGATAACACTCATACGGGGTGCAAGGCTCCGAGGGCTCGAAACTAAACCATCACCTCCGGGGGAGCCTCTCCTTGCGATTCCTCGAAACCGTTCTCCTCCCTCAGAAACTCTTCCAGCATCTGGTCGAACGACAGGATCTCCTCCATTGGCTCACTGAGTACCATGCGGAGTCCACGTCAGAACCCCTTCCGGAGTACACCTAACCGCAACCTTCTTCGGAGCCGCGACCAGCGCGAGCGCAATGGCAGCTTCACACGATAGCATGGCACTCGACAAGGAACACGAGGCTGTCACACCAGCCCTCACCTTAATCACTGTTCTCTCCTCTCCTAGTACTATCGGGACACGAACGCGGTGCTCTACGAACGAAGCCAAGGAAGACGGCGAAGACGACGAAAGATCTGACATCGCGCTGTGACCACGGTAGGTCCCCGAAGTACGCTATCGCCTGAAGCGTCAGCTTACTCCAGTGATCTACCGTGCGGCCTCATTCACGGAGGCCTAAGGCTGAGAACCATTTCACTCTTATAGTCGGTCTTTCGCAGCATCTCATACAGGTTCCCTCCATACGCCACCCCATAGGCTCCCTTTTAAAACCTCAGACACACCCACGTATCAATTTCGCCAGGGCCCCTGATGTCGTATCTGTGCACAGACTCTTTACCCTCCCCCCCGTTTTTTTAAAAATTAATAATAACACCCCCTTACTACGGATATTCCCTCAGT